CGACAAGCTGGTTCGAAAACCAGTTTTTTTTTCTTTCTTTTTTTTTTGAAAAAAAAAAAAACACTATCCACCCTTAAAAGGGGGCGGATATCCGCGGATATCCGCGCGGATACCCGCCAGCGCCAGCGGGTATCCGCCAGCGGATGCGGATGCGGATGCGGATGCGCAATTCCGCTGAAAATGTGAGCGGATATCCGCATCCGAACGGATATCCGGATGCGGAGCGCCCATCTCTAGTTCCAGTGACGCCTCCGTGGTGATTAAGGGTGAATTTATCCGTAGAGTCCAGTTCTTGAGCCGTATGGTGTGATTTCTGAGAGAGATTGGGTCATAATATGAAGAATATATATGTTGGAATTCTGAAGTGATCGTGCCCTGCTCTCCTCTCCCTGTCACATCTCTGTCACTCTCTTCTCATCTGTCACTCCTTTTCTTCTCTTTTCCAGATGAATATGAATTGTCATCTTCTGTCCCACAACTCAGCCATAACTTGTATGTAGATAAATATTCATGCTTCCTGAGTTAGAGAATGAAAAACATCAGTTCTTCTGGGCCTGTTCCCTGGAGTCACTACCGGATGCAACTCCTTGTAGCGTGTCAGCTTTTCCTCCACGCAAGCTAGCAGACTAGCCCCTTTTTGGGCTCTAAGACCTTTGTTTTTCCCTCAGAGCTTTTCCTCGAGGTTTCTTCTTCACCCGGTCTCTTCCCTTGTCTCCGGCTAAAAATCCTGAGTTTCTTCAATATATATATAAGAAAAGAAAAGAAAAAAGTTTGAATTTTCACATTTTTGCCTACCACATCGGTTGTCATTATATGGATCCACATAGATGACGGGATTGTATTTAGCAACAACGTGTCTGCATTGTGTCAACTGCGAGACAACCTCGAGTCAAGCTTACAGGTGAAATGGGAAAACAGACCTGAGAAACTAGTTGGTCTCAAACTCAATTACTCCGGCGATGCCATTTACCTCAGTCAACACTTGCTCATTGACCAGACCATCAAAAAATTTCGCAAAGAGGTCCAAGACACAATTATTCCTACCTACACCCCCCTCATAGGCGACAAACTGGTGACAAATTGGGGTGATCCCTTATCACCAACCCTATATCAATATTTCATTGGTTCTCTGAATTATCTGGCTCTTGGCACGAGGCTGGACCTCAGCTATGCGGTTAATTATTTGGCTCAATTCAGTTCAAATCCTAATGAAACACACTAGGGGGCCTTATCCCATCTTATTCAGTATCTTGCAACAAACAGAGATAAATGTTTGAAACTGGAGTTGATGTCCAATTCCATGGTAACTTGGTCAGATGCCAACTGGGGTGGGGAATTCCAACAGTCAACTTTGGGTTTCATCATCACATTCCTTGGTAGCCCAATTGCATGGGGGTTGAGACGCCAGAAGGTGGTTGTGATGTCCACATGTGCGGCAGAATTCATTTCCCTCGGTTCCTTGGTCGATTTTCTTCTATTTCTTATTCCCATCTTCAGATCTCTTGAAATACATCCACCACTCCACCTCAAGTGCGATAACAGGGCAGCAGTATTGGTTTCAGACGACAATGCCTCAAAGGGCCGTATGAAGAGCATAGAGCGCAACTTCTTTTTTGTGAATGACGCGGTTCGCAAACACAACATCAAGCTTCATTGGGTATCAACTTTCTCCAACATAGCTGATTTCTTTACTAAGTCACTTTGGGCCAATCTACACTCCATCTCATTGAATAAACTATTTCCGGAAAAAAAAAGGGGGGGCACCATGTTTATGAATAACTTTTCTTCTCTACCACTTCTCTTTTCCTATCTTTATCCTGTTTTCCTTTCTAAATTTTCTTATCTTTGTGGTCTGCAATTTCTTTTCTTTAATTTTTTCCTCTCTAACTGCTGATTTCTCCTAACTCAAATTTTCTCTCTTGTTATCCTGGTTGTTTTCTATTCACTCAAATTTCTTTTCTTGTTCTCATGGTTGTATACACTGGTGTGGAGCTTGAGGGGAGGAGGGGGGGGGGTTGTATGGGTGTGCAAACTCCACATTTGGAGTAGAGGGGACACAAGAGGCGGACCAGGGAAAAGCAATGTAGACCAGGCATTCCAACCACAACAATTGATTCCAACCACTGAGTCATCGTGTTGTAACAGTTGGCCAGGGCTTGATTCAGTCCATAGAATTTTTTTTTCAGTTTGAGGTATGGAGCCTTTCAATCAGACCCTTCAGGAGTTTTGATTTAGACTTCTTCCTTCAGTGGTGCATAGAGAAACATGCTTTTTACGTCAAACTGTCTGAGAGTGAGCTTTTTATCCACCGGAAACACAAGTAACATGAGCAAGGTCATCAATTTACCAGTGGGAGCAAACATATTGCCACATTCTTCTGGTAGTTGGTCAAATCCTTGATAACATAGGATTAGGTGGCCTTCTTATGTTCTTGACATGAGAGATTGGCTGGCTTTGTCTTGAACATCCAGAGTGTATGGAGAAAGGATTCCGTAAAATTACACATGTTGTCCAATACTTCATGTCCTTCAATGTTGCTCAGTTCTTCATTGGCTGCTGTTACCCACTTGTCCTTATTGGGGGATGACATTGCTTTCTTGAATGGCAAGGGATTGGTTGACAGATAGGAGTACTTTGAAGGTTTCACTTTTGCAGTCTGATCACTGGGAGTTGTTGTTTTTGGTACAAGACTGTCCTCAATGTTGTCATATTTTCCACAACAATCTTCAAATATTCATCTTCATTGTTTTCTGACTTCTTCATTTGATCTAGGAATTGAGCACTTTTTGTTTCAATAATCTTTCCATTATTGCTCAAGATCCTGTATGATTGAATTTTGTCTTTATATCCAAGAAGCAGAAGGTCAATTTGATCAACTTTTTTGAATGACCTTTTTTCATTACATGTTTTCTCTTTTTTTTCTTTCAAAAAAAAGTGACCAGTGGTCTGGCCCGGCTTGGCCCGGACCCCCCTGCACCCCTAGGTGGGTCGGGTTTGGGCAGCAATATTGACTGTATGACCGAACCCGACCCGGTACTTTTGGCGGGTTGGGTTTGGGCACTGTTTTTTGACCCAAACGCGACCCGGTTTCATCCTGAGAGCCGAGTGCCACAGCTCACCAAAGCTCACATGTTGAAATGGGTAGAAAGGTATTTCTTAGTTTACTTATAATTTTTAAACAAAGGTCTTGGTTCAATCTTGGTGGAGGATAACCACAGACCGTATCCAAGTGATTCACTCAAAGTTGGCTAATTGCAATACTTGACATTCGGGAGTGGGATGGGGGGCATACGGCTACTACTAGCTAGGAAAGAGCATAAATGCACGACAGCACCACGGCGGCATTGGTTCGGGGAACAGGACTGGAATTACATCTGAAAGAGAATTTGTCCCTTCGGCTGCTGGCTTCACAAGGATCATTATGACAAGACAAATGCAGATCAGATCAGAACTTTCCGAATTGCTTGGCCAAAGCAGACGACTTGGACTTTTGGACCCTTAGAACGTTGAATCGAACGGTCTGTAATCAATGTGGACAGGAGGAGGGAGAGGCCCGAGGTAGATGCCAATCAGTACATCGGTGACAACCCTTCAGAAGGCAGGAATTCCAGCTTACCTTCGATAGAGGACGACATTGCCCAACGGTGACTTGGTCTCCAATTTCGACACGGAAGGCAGGGGAACAGTGAACAGCCATGTTCTGATGTCTGTGACAGCAAACGGAGGGGAAGTTATTGACCGACTGGTCAAAACAAGTGAGCTTAAGGCTTAGAGGAAATTACGCACCTCTTCTCGTATCTTGAGTATTTGGGGATGTAGTGAAGGTATTCCCGACGGATGATGATGGTTCGGGTCATCTTGGTGGATACAACAACACCAGTAAGGATTCGTCCTCGGATAGAGACTTCTCCGGTGAAGGGACATTTCTTGTCAATGTAGGTGCCGTTGATGGCCTCAGCGGGAGTCTATGGACATTAAGATGAGCAGGTCAGCAATCGTAGTAGACATCGGGCGTAAATTTCTCGGCCGGCAGGCTTGAGGAGGCGTGAGGTGTGGTTCATTCTGAGTTTTTGTGGTATCCTGGTCTCCATTATCGAGATGGCATCGATTGCTCTCTGTGCTCAGCTGCTGAATTTCGCTCACCTTGAAGCCAAGCCCGACATCCTTGTACCACCGCCTGTCTTTCGAGGCGACCTTCTTACCGGCAGATTTGATCTTCGAGTTCTGGAAGATTGGCTGCTTTTGGAAAGCCTTCTCGGTTTGTTCGGCAGAGATCGTCGTGGCCATCGTGGAGAGTTGCCGCCGGTAGGGTACTGGGTTGAGTGTCGTTCGGCGATCTGGGGTGTGCTGGTCTTCGGCTGGTAGTGCTTCTGGCGGTACCCAGCTCCAAACTGCTCGATCCTGGCCCAGCCTGCTGCGGGCTGCTCATCGCCCGCCGCTCACATGAGCGCAGACTCATCAAGTTAGGGTTCTGAGCTTTCAACCGGTTAGAGCTTCACCCCATGTCCCGTCCTGCTCGGGTATCCGGAGCTCCGCTTACCAGAATCGGCACATCCAGAGGCCTTCTATCCGATCACTGCTCGGATAGACAAGTCCGAGAGAGAAATTTCAACTCTTGGCCCAGGCTCGTTAATTTGCTGGAGTCGTACACGTTGGTCAAGGTATGGCAACCTGGAGAATGAAGGCAATGACCATCGACTATCTGCACTCACATATAGCACTCATGGTTTAACAAGGTCTGTGAGACCCATTGCATGGATTCTGGTAACACATTTGCGCTATGAATCAGGAGATTGCTGAGAGCAAGATCAGGGGTAGGGGAGGTAATTCCAGGCTCTAATGCTAAATTTATGTTGAACATTAAATGTGTATAAACTTGTGAAAGCCTGATATTCATACAAAGCCAGTGAGACATGAGGTTTGGCAAAAACAACAGAATTTTATTGATAAATGAGCTACAAATTGTGTTTATCTCAGGTGCCAACTGGCCTAGCTCATGGAATTTTTTAAGTAGTCTGATTGTAAGTTAATACTGTCATAGCAACAAAACCACAAAAGGGTTCAACACAAAGTGTCAATCAAAATGCAGATCACTTTGCTTGGTTATTACTGAAATGTATTCAAAAATGAGGATGTCAACTGACAACAGCTTCTCAATATTTTGAACTAGGGATCAACTTGTTGTTAGAAATATACCTTTGTCTTGCTGTTTGGGATGGAAATGTGTCGAGGAAGAACTAGTATTCATTCTATTTGGAAATCAATATTTACAGGTTCAATGTATGAAGCTGCTTGATTTTGTTTCTCTACGTTGAAAATAACAATTTAGACAAAAGGTAACTTAAAAGGGGAATTTGAGTTGATAAAATTCTGCTATTTTTCTCCTCATTGAAATCATCTGGGTAAGATTTAATTTCTTCAATAAAAATCATTTTTCCCCTTTCAAATATAAATACTCAAGATCAGTCTTCCTGGTCTATGTTCAAATACGTACACAGCTTGTTTTCCTATCTTGGAATTTTGGTACCCTGAACCAGTTTTATTTTTAATTGAAACAGTTAGATGTACAAAAAAACCATTCTTATTTTCATTTTCCTAATTTTTATTCTATTTCTATTAATTTTCAAAAACAACTTGGACAATTATATGTAATCTGAACTTGGGAGTAAATAGAATCATAATCATCTTTTCCTCTCCTTTTTGAACCTCAAATTGTTTTTATAAGATTAATATCCCTTCTACTGACATCCTCATTTCTCTTGCAACTGAAAATGTGATGATAAATGAAATGTGAATTTCCAATATCCCCACACTGGCTTTTTTTTGGGCCCTTCAGAGAATGATGTTAAGACGGATGTTGAAATTGTGAGCTCAAGCGCACCAAAGGATGAGGGCCAAAAAAAGGAGAGTCTTGTTTTTGGGAAGGGCTCAAGGAAAAAGAGTGTAAAGAACCAATGAGTTTTTATTCACTAGTAACTAGCCTGGTTTTAAGTAGACTAAATACAAGAGGACAAACTGTGGTTGAGAGAAATGAATAGCAAAACCATTTTGAATAAAAGACTGAGAGGAATAAACATGAGTCTTTGGAAGAAAAAAACTGTACAAAACTTCTCAGTCTCTTTTAGTCAAGCTGGATGAGTTAATCAAGAAAAACATGCTATAAAACACAGATATTTACAGTCATTAATTCTAAGTAATCAGACTTTATTAAAACAAACAGAAATATCAGGAAAGAGAAGAAAACATTGTAGAGACATGAGTTGTTGAGAAGAGCATTACTTAGGGTTCATATTTGACTCAAAAGGGGCTTGAAAACAACAAAAAACAAGCTATTTGATGAGTATAATCTAGTCCGAATTTATGATGACTAGAAAGGAATGAAGAGCAGAGAGAGACAGAATGAGGAAATTTCAACAACAGATCATCTAGCAAATGTTACTTTTTTGGGGAGTGATTTACATACATACAACTTTTATGATTCTCAGAAATCTCATTGCTAATTAGAAAATGTTTGATTTAAAATACTGTTTGTAAACAGGTGTATAATCATGGTAAATTTTACTCTAATGGCGGTGTTTTTTTTCTCCTGCATGTCCAATGCCATACTCAGATGCCTTGAGGCTATGTAATGATGTGCCTAGCTTTCCTTTTGATTGTGCACAGTCAGGTATAGAGTGAAATCACAGGAGAAATACATTTGACCTAAATTAATGAAGTCCCTCTGTACCCCCTCCGATGACGATGGACTTCATTAAGTTAGGCCTTTAACACGCACTACTCAGTCAATTCCCTTGATGTGTTACGCGAGCATAACAACGCCTCTCGAGTGAGAGCCCCAAAGGGGCAGCCCCGCAGGGTCTCTGTCTCACAGAGAGGCATACCCCCAACGGTCGAATTTCGGTGTGGATCCCGGCATTTCTTAGGCCCCAGAATAGTCTACTTTCCACTCAAATCAAATTCCCCACGCGAAAAATTAAGATATTTTTACTGGGAGTGATGGACCATGGAGGCTGGCTTCTGGCGCATCCATCGATGGCTCACTCATGCATCAGTCCCTCATGATGAAGACTGGCCGCTGTCTCTAAAAAGGTCTTTGATCGGTTTGACCATCTGTTAAGTATGCACTCACGGTGGCATTAGGCACTCATACAATCCTGTATCCTGCTTGTACTTAGTGAAACACATGAAATACCTGAATACAAGACTGTACACATTATCATCACTTCAAAAATACAACAGCCATCTTATAATGGAAATAACCAAATAACAGACAGCCCTGTCCGATTATTTGGTCCATCAGTGGACTTTCATGATCATGTTTGATAGACTATCAGATTTCTTGTTGAGGACAAATCACCCTTCGTTCCCCTCAACCAGCTGCACATCTCAACATGCTCCGCTGTCTGGCTGCACCGGCTATTTCCGACCCCCAAGGGACTGGGATCCGAATCGGACTGCTGAAGAAGATTGAGATGAAGGGCGACGATGCAATGATGGCCGCTATTGGCAAGTCGGCTTTCGATCGTTACGGTCAACACGCGAGGGAGCAACAGGTTACGACAGTTTTCCACTTGGCACGCGGGAAAAATACGTTCTTACTTGCGGGGACCGGTTTTGGGAAATCTAGGATACCTGAGATATACCACACTCTCTTACCCAAATCGGCCAATGGGGTGATACTTGTATTGAACCCACTGGATGAACTAGGTGACAACCAGGTGCTGGAAAAGAAGAAAGCCGGGTTCTCAGCAATCAACCTCACCAAATTGACATTCAATGTGGAAGAAGCGAACAATGTAGTCAATGGAAATTACAATTTCGTGTACCTCAGCCCCGAGATTTTCCTGAACTCTCGCCTGTGGGATCAGGTCTACTTCTGCCCAAACTTTCAAAACCGCCTGGCTTTGGTCGTGATCGATGAAGCTCATATCATATATCAATGGGGTCTCGTCAAATCTTCTAGCGGGAAGGACAAAGCGGTTGCACTTGGCCGCATTGAAGACATAGCGATTTTCAGGCCTTGTTATGGGAAGATGGGTGGTCGGCTTCTGACTCGTAATGGCAAACCGATCTTATTGATGTCCGCTACTTGCCGGCCGATCGCCGTGGAAGCAATCAAAAAGAGCTTGAAATTCGAGGACCATAATGTGTGTGTGGTGAGGGCGGAACTCACCAGACCGGAGATTCGCATCGTACGGGTCCCAATAACGTCTTCAATGGCCGCTTGCACCGAGTTGGTTCATTGGTTTGCACTCCAATCAGACGTGCCGAATGAAAAGGTTGTTCCCACTTTGATATATAGTTCTACTGGAAACCGGACCTTGCAGGTGATGAAGGTTGTTGACGATGCTCGCGGGACACCTGGAAGTTCAATGAGGCCAAATGCGATGCTGGTCCGGCGATTCCACTCGTGCACTGGCGAGAAAGATAAATTGAGGGTCGTGGAGGATTTCGCTGCGGGGATATTTCCAATGATATCATGTACTATGGCTCTCGGGATGTGTCAAAACTGGTCTCGAGTGCGTCGGGTGTTCCAGTTGGGGCGCGGTGATCCATCAGCAATATGTCAGATGGTTGGACGGGCGGGGCGAGATGGCCGACCGGGTTTAGCAATATTGTTTGTGGAGAAGACACGGAAGGGGGGGAAGAATAAAGTGGCAGCTGAGAAACACCGAGGAGCAGCAATGAGCTAAGGAGGCTTGGAGGAGACCGACGAGGCAAGAGGATGGGACGAGGAGGAATGAGAAGAAAGGACTATGCACCTGAGAAACACCGAGGAGCAGCAATGAGCTAAGGAGGCTTGGAGGAGACCGACGAGGCAAGAGGATGGGACGAGGAGGAATGAGAAGAAAGGACTATGCACCTGATGATGTGCAAGGAGAAACAATCGGAGATGAGTGATGCATTGCATAGTGAGCACAGAAAAAGAGAAGGACAGAAAGAAAGAGAAAAGAAAAAGGAGAAGAAATCAGACCTGAGAAACACCGAGGAGCAGCAATGAGCTAAGGAGGCTTGGAGGAGACCGACGAGGCAAGAAGATGGGACGAGGAGGAATGAGAAGAAAGGACTATGCACCTGATGATGTGCAAGGAGAAACAATCGGAGATGAGTGAAGAAAAGAAGAAAAAGAGAGAAAACGTGTACAACGGCTAAGAGAGCTAAATACAACGATCCGTAAACCTAATGTGATGATGAATTAGGTTTACCCCTTTTTACTCCACCCATGCTACCTGCCTTGCCGCAGTAGCCCTTTCTGACCTTATCGTCACAGCAGCGTTCGACTGGTCAAAGAAGGCTGGGGAGAATGACCGAATGGACGCCTTGGCGGTAATGGCGGTAACACCTGTGTGTTGTGGTGGCGGGAGCGCGCCTTGGCCAAAGCTTTGGCCGGTTTGTTTGGGGCATGCGGAATGCTCGCGGCGCTGATGCGGAAAGCACGCGGAGCTGACGCTACACAAGCGGGCTGAGGAAAGCGGCCGTGCATTAGTGGAAAGTCTAGCTTTCCGAGGCGCGGGAAAGCGGAGAAAGGTAGACCAAATGCACAAGGTTCTGAAAAGCTTACTGCGGGGAATTCGGGCATCGGCGGACGCCGGGGATCACGGCCGACTGCGGAACGGGGGTTCAGTGTATACTGCGGAGAGGCTACAAAGAGCGGGGAGCACCGAGGGGCAGAAGCGGGGTTCGGAGCGGACCAGAGGCAGAAGCGGCGGTGGGAGACCTGCTTAGGAGCGGCCGGAGGAGTACTTGGACCGACAGGCGTCGGAGGGGTGACATGCGGAGTCCGAGGGGGTGACAGCGGATGACATCGCGGGAAGTAGGAAGGGACTGGAGTGTGGGATACCTAGGAGGAGAGGAGAGAGAGGGGGGGAGGAAGGAGGACTCAGAACATATCAGAAAAACAGAGGGACTTAGGAGTGAATCGTGTATTAGCCTAAAGAATTGTTAGAGATAGAGTAGAGTTAGTGTATTACCTACAAAAGATCAATAAAAGAGAACTAGTTTACCTACCTACAAGACCATCAAGCAAGTTACCCCGGACAACAAAACCGGAGTAGGACGCGTTGCGGAGCGGAGAAGTGCAAGAAAACTCCTAGGGCGCGCCGTGCTTTCCACAGTGTCTGAGGATAGCTTTTGCTATTTATAATGCATGAGTGTTTTATTTTATCATGGTTGTGAGGTGGTATGTTGATTCAGGATACTGACACTGATCGGGTGTGTTGCTCAGGCTTGGTTACATACCAGTATCTATCAACGATCCATCGTACATACGAGAACAAGAACGGGAGAAAAAGGAGGGATTTTGTATTTGCAGTTGTTCTAATTGTAGGCCCGATATGGCTGCCGGTTTGATTAACAACATGAAAGAGATGACGGTAGACAACTTTGAAGATTTCATTACTCGCGAATGGACCACAGAAGAGATGAAGAACTTGAGAAAACGAAAACGAGTAGACAACGAGACAATCACAAGTGTTAAACATATCAAACTCATGCCTGATCAGCGTCTTGTGTTATCAGAGGTTCTACGGAACGCCTTTGACCAATTGTTTGCCCGCACTTACAGAAACGAAATCCTTTTCGGTCCGGATGATCTTTTTCGTCACGAACATATCACGACATTAATTGACAACTTGGGTACTTTCAAAACTGTGACCGAATTGCGAAAGCTCATCGGCGGCGAAGTTATAGCAGGACAGATGGAAATCTTGTTGGAGGCCGTTGACGGTTATATCAAGGGCCCGCTGGCTGAAGATACACAACGGAGGATTGATCTTGCGCGGGCTGAGGAAGAGAGGCTGATTTCAATATCAAAGGAAGAAGCGGAGGCTCGGGCTCGCGATGAGGAAGTTGAGAGGGAGGTGGCACGGTTGGAATTCCAGAGGATTGAAGAACAAAGGCTGTTGGATTTGGCGAAACGATTGGCAAGGGAAGCTGCTGAGAAAGCATGGAAGGAGGAACAGGCTGAACACATGGCCATGCTGGTCCGCCAGGCCGGTGAGGATGCCGAGAGGCGGGGAGTGAAAAGTATACATTGGGGACGTTGATGGGTGATTTCAGATGTAAGTTCAATCTTCATCCATTGAATATTGGCTGGGGGAACCGGATCGAATGGATGGTGATTTGTTTGGTTCTCCTTTGGGTTCAGCTTGATCCTCGGGATCGCTAGGATAAGATTCACACTGCTCATCAAATGGGAGATGCATGGTAAACCGACCTAGTTCATTCGCTTTGGTGGAAATCTCTTCCTGTAACAAAATAAGACCCTGAATGTACGTATTCTTGATTTCGACTGGGGCAGGAGCGCCGGAACTGGAGTTGATGGTGAGGATGCCATTTGATTGGGCCATCTGTTGAAATCTTTTGAGCCCTCGGAGGGTGAGCAACGGTTTATGGCTCTGTTGGATATGTTTAGCTCCACTGTCCAATCGCAAAGAATCAAACATAGTCCGCAACTGTTTGTATATGCAATAATCAGAACCCTCTGGGAAATTACAGATGAGCAACCAATGACTTACAGTAGGAATGTTTGACGAGAATAAGGCTTGCAGGCGATCAATCTGAGTCCCTATGCCGCCTTGTGTGTAGAAATATTTGAGCCAGTAGTTATGAGTCTCCAACAGGAAGTCTTTCGCAACGAAGTGGTTAGGTCGACCGCTTGGAGACACCAAAATGCTGTGGCGAATCAGCTTGCCCAAAGACGGTGGGAGTATCTTGGTGAGCAAGAGGATGAGCCTGGGCAGGTAAGCTGAATAATGAGTGAGTCCGGGAAGCGATTGGGTCATGATCGACCACATCTTCCACACATTTATCAACCGTCCTATATCACCTCTTTTCATGGCCCTGTTGGCCTCTATGACCGTTGAGAAGTCTTGGAGTCGTGTGAGCAGATTGCTCAACTTGGGGAATCCTCGCGCCGCCCGTCGGGCCTCATGTGAGAAGAATCGGTCATAGCACTTGTCCACCATATAATTCCATTTGGCCGTTGGAATGATAGGTAACTCCTCTTGGATGACAGTGTCATGATGACCCATCACATCCCTACAACCCAACGCGGTCAAAAGACATAATCAATAGACTCTAGGGAGTAAGAATAAACGTACCTAAGGCAGTACCACAATGTTGCTTCATGTACTTGTTCCATGTACTGCAGCATTTTTGTGAAATCTTTCTTCTGAGCAACCTTTTCCGGTGGTATCCCAAGTGCCTCCAAGTATCTCCACACTCCTAGGACGTCCATCAAACCAGAGTTCCCAAAGTGATAGGTCAGTATGGTGTGCGCAATATTCCACAATGTATGAGCCGCCCCCAAAGTGAAAGAGATGTTGTTGAGGCTGTGATCGCAGTGTTCACTAGGGGACCGGAGTACTCGGATAGCGTTAAATATCTGCGCCGTCCCAAGGTCCCCATCAATAAGCTGTAATCGACCAAAGAAGTCAGCGGGATCGAGCCGTGTCTGGTGCTGTAGGGCATCCATGACCTGTCCGATTCCCTCGGCCGAGTTGTCAGACTCGTTCATGAGCTTCAGCATGTGGATTTCAGGCTTCTTATGACTGATTAGCTCGACTTCGGGTGGGTGCAACGGGTGTCTGCCTTTAGGATGAGAAGGCCGGGCAACATACTTGTACATAACTTGCGCGATCTGGCTCTTCACCACTAGCTTGTGATGCTCCTGGTCGTCATCGTTTGGCAGAAAAAAATTTGGATCGATCACCAAGGAGCTGACATTTTTGAGGGCATTGTGGTAGGCAGTCAATGTGAGATCGTTCGGGTTGAGGGAATCCATTAGGTCGCTGCTGGGTATATGTATGTATCCCCAGGTCCCATGGAACATCCGATTCTGTTTGCCTACAGTAGCGATCTGAATCCTCTCTTCCATGTCCAAGTTGTCGATACAAAGGATCGGAGCCACATCAGTTGAAATAGCCATGCACGATGCAATCTTATCCTGTGCTTCACAGGCCAATGATCGTAGAGCGTGAACGGCCGTTTTTCGATGCGAGGTTAAACCCAAGTAGTGAAGATACTCGTTGACCGTCTCCGAAACCCCACACGCATAGAATCGAATGGAATTCTCCAGTTGTAATCCATTATGGCGGCGATTACAAGCAAAGGTAAGCATTGAACATATCACCGAAGCGATCTAAGATCCATTGGCCATCAGGGTCCCTCATACATACAAGTCTTATTCAGGAAAGTATTAAATACAAACAGGACTGGACTCACGTGACATCTTTGTTTCTTTCTTGCATCGGGTCCATTACCATCCGTTGAGTAAACAAACCCGCCATAATTAGAGATGGGCGCTTTGAATCCGGATATCCGCGCGGATGCGGATATCCGCTCACGATTTCAGCGGAAACACACATCCGCATCCGCATCCGCATCCGCCAGCGGATACCCGCCCTCTGAATGGGCGGCGAGGCTCTTCCAGGAGTGTTTTTTTTAGAAAAAAAAGAAAAAAAAAGAAAAAAAAAACCAGCCCCCTCGGCCTAAAGGGGCAGAGGCACACCGTCGGGAGGAACCCCTCCCAACGAGCTGGTACACAGACCAGCTCGTCGGGAGGAGTCCCTCCCGACGAAGTTGTCTGAAAACCACCCTGCCGAGAGAGATGCCTCACAGAAGGTGCGTTCTTCTTGGGAACTGCTATCGGAAAAGCATACCCGAAATCCCGCCTTTGATTTCAG